GGGGGGGGGGTCACAGGTTTGAATCCTACTCAAGGCATGGATGTCTGTTTATTCTGTGTTCATGTAGGTAGCAGCCCTGCAACTGGCCAACCCCCATGCAAGGGTTCCTACCAACTGTTCTAGGATTGAGAAACAAATGAACAAAGCGTTTCACAGATGCATTATGCTCCAAGGTGGGAGCAACAGGAAAAGAGAGAAAGTCTCCTAGAAGCCTGTAGTATAATTCTTGCTGTAACATTTCAATTCCATTTTTAATTACATAAGGTTTGTGTGGTGGACCTGGGTTAGTCCAGTCAGTACAGCAGCTGGCTAAGGGCTGGACGACCGAAGGATCACAGTTCCAAGTCCTGGTAGGGGCAAGAATTTTCTCTTCTCCATGTAGTCCAGACTGGTTCTAAGACCCACCCTGCCTCTTATCCAATGGGCACAGGGGCTCTTTCCCTGGGAGTAAGGCGGCCAGGGCGTGAAGCCGACCATTCACCTCTAGTGTTGAGGGCAAGAAAACGTGGATCTATACATCCACTTCCCCATACGCCTTCATGGTCAACTTTACCAATTGCTCCATAATCACCCTCACCTATCATCTGGTGCTCGTACAATAAGCCAGAAGTGACCGCAGTACAAGGGACTTAGTCCCACCCCTCTAGTAACAATAATACCTTTAAGATTCGTGTGACAGTATTGCATTTTTTAGTTCTCTGAATAGTATGCTGTGTTGTATTTACTGTTATTTGTTTATAATAGATCGCCGAAATTAAATCTTCCCTCCCTTCGTGAGAATAGCAAGCGAACACAGCACAGTTCCTGTAAAAATTGGCAGCATTGAATTGCTAAACTTATTCAGCAATCGATAGTTGTAAATAGCGCTAAGAGCCCTTTTTCACTCATACTACAAAATTATTTACTTTGAATAGAATAATGTCCAGCTATGACGATTTAAACAGTGCTCGGAAGAAGTTAGAAGCTGCATTAGGCGAAAATACAAAACCGTAAGTTGAGGAAGTTTCAAATATGGGTGATCTAGACTTTTAAGGTTAGAATTTACTCATACCTGCTCAGTATGTTTAAACCATATTCTCCCGAAAGTCTATACCTTAGTATCTCGCATTTATTTAACAATATTTTCATTCTTCTCCTAAGGACGTCAGCAGATTTACTCTTTCTTTACTCTGTTTCAGGTACTTTCAGTTGATGAAACTTTGGTTTCAGTTGAAGGTAAACCATTGCACATTTGTATTTAATGACAAAGGGAGAAATTCTGGAATTAATGACATCGGCAATTTGTATAAATTTGTGTGTGTGCGCATAACCTTGTAATATAACGTAAGCATGTGTGACGACGCAGATACTTTCTTTTACACTCATATCTTTATGTAACATTTTTTTATGGTTTCAAGTACGTTAATCACAACTACCACACATTTGGACAGGTCATTGAACATGTCCACATCTGCTGTGCTGTAAAACTGTTGTGGGTAGCACCACGAATATTGTAAATTTACATTTATTTTCACTTCATGGATCCAATCATTGGGCCAGAGTTCAATTTTATACGTTTCATACCCATTTGAAAGCAGTTAAATATAATGATTATATGAATTTGTGACTAGGTTGGACTTTGCTTTAGGTAATGAACCCTCAGGTTCTATAAAAATGGAAATTCCTTAAGCATCTGAGCAAATATTAGCTGCTCATGAATGACTGCTTCATGGAGTTAGCTAGGCCTAATTTTATAGTATAATTTCTGACCTTATAACTGAAGCATTTAATTTATAATGTTAGATATCTTTGTTGTAATTTTTATGTGCTGACAGTTTTGTATTCCTGTGACACAGTCCACCAAAGAGGAGTTTGACGCTGAGTCTCGGAAGCTGATGACACCTGAGCAGATTCATCTGCACAATGAATTCCTCCTTTGTCTGTTCAACAAATGCCAGAGTCTTGCCTCATTTCCATCACATTCTTCAGTGACTAGGATATCAAGCAAGATACCTTTTTCACCATCCAGAAGTACAACCAATACTGAGAAAGATAAAGGCAATAAGAGAAGTAAAGTGAAGAGGAGAAACAGATCTGATAAAGGAAACTTTGAGGTACTGTATTGCTTAGTCTGTGTGGCACTGTAAATGAAGAGTCAGATGTGAAATATATGAGAGACTAATTTTACAGTGGATCTTAAAGAAATAGGATGTGATAGTGCAGACTGGCTTTATCTGGTACAAGATAGTGATGGGCCTGTAGCTTGCTTTGTCACCCAGTGGAACTGTTCCATATATAACTGTGTTCCTGTAAATGATACATCAGAGTGTGTTGTCTGCTCCTGTTACAGCCAGCAGACATTGCTGATTATATTTCTCCACCAAATCCTTTGCCACTTAATGCAAATGAAGAACCATTATGCTACAGCACACAGGAATTGTTCTTACCAGACGTATCACTCATCTTTGGCCGTATGTTACTATCTGCTTGGGAAGTGGGGCTTGATGGAGCTGAAGAACCTGCTGCAGAACTGTTGGTTGTTGCTGTTCAGGTAATAAAATTCTGAAGAAGCTTCTTGCATGTTAATACAGTCATTAAAAGATATGTGTGTATGTGTCCATGCCCATTCAAGTCGATGTGTGTGTTCGTATGGAAAATTTTCCTATTTAATTGAACATTACA